TCCGGGTGGTCTCCAACTCGGCCCCCCACCTGGTGGACATCAGCCCCGGGTCGGGGCTGCTGGTGACCAAGCAGAAGATTGACCGGGACCTGCTGTGCCGGCAGAGCCCCAAGTGCGTCATCTCGCTGGAGGTGATGTCCAGCTCCATGGAGATCTGCGTGATCAAGCTGGAGATCAAGGACCTCAACGACAACGCGCCCAGCTTCCCCACTGACCAGATTGAGCTGGAGATCTCAGAGACGGCCAGCCCCGGCACCCGGGTGCCGCTGGAGAGTGCCTACGACCCGGACTCGGGCAGCTTCGGTGTGCAGAGCTATGAGATCACCCCCAACGACCTCTTCGGGCTGGAGACGAAGACGCGGGGCGATGGGTCCCGCTTTGCCGAGCTGGTGGTGGAGAAAAGCCTGGACCGCGAGACCCAGTCCCACTACAGCTACGTGATCACGGCGCTGGACGGTGGTGACCCGCCCAACTTCGGCACGGTGGAGCTCAGCATCCGCGTCATCGACTCCAATGACAACAACCCGCTCTTTGAGGAGCCGGCCTACACTGTCAGCGTGCCTGAAAACGCCCGCCGGGTACGCCAGTCATCCGCCTCAACGCCTCCGACCCAGATGAGGGCACCAACGGCCAGGTCCTCTACTCTTTCCACAGCTACGTCTCTGAGCAGGCCCGGGAGCTCTTCCAAATCGACCCCCAGAGCGGCCTCATCACAGTGAGCGGTGCCATCGACTACGAGGAGGGTCACGTCTACGAGCTGGACGTGCAGGCCAAGGACTTGGGGCCTAACTCCATCCCTGCCCATTGCAAAGTGACCATCAGCGTCCAGGATGCCAATGACAACCCACCCCTCATCAACCTGCTCTCCGTCAACAGCGAGCTGGTGGAGGTGAGCGAGAACGCCCCACCAGGGTACGTCATCGCCCTGGTGCGAGTCTCGGACCGTGACTCCGGGGCCAATGGGCGGGTGCAGTGTAAGCTCCTGGGCAACGTGCCTTTTCGTCTCCAGGAGTACGAGAGCTTCTCCACCATCCTGGTGGATGGGCGGCTGGACCGGGAGCAGAGGGACCAGTACAACCTCACCATCCAAGCCAAGGACAATGGCATCCCCTCCCTGCAGGCCACCAAGTCCTTCACTGTCAAGATTACCGATGAGAATGACAACCATCCCCACTTCTCCAAGCCCTATTACCAGGTCATCGTGCAGGAGAACAACACCCCGGGGGCCTACCTCCTCTCAGTCTCGGCCAGGGACCCTGACCTGGGCCTCAATGGCAGTGTCTCCTACCAGATCGTGCCCTCCCAAGTCAGGGACATGCCTGTCTTCACCTATGTCTCCATCAACCCCAACTCTGGAGATATCTATGCTTTGAGGTCCTTCAATCATGAACAGACGAAGGCCTTCGAGTTCAAGGTCTTGGCAAAAGACGGGGGTAATCCCTCTCTGCAGAGCAATGCCACCGTCAGGGTGATCGTCCTGGACGTCAATGACAACACCCCCGTGATCACAGCCCCGCCACTGGTCAACGGGACCGCGGAGGTGTACATCCCCAGGAACGCAGGAGTCGGCTACTTGGTGACGGTGGTCAAGGCAGACGACTATGATGAGGGTGAAAATGGCAGACTTTCCTACGAAATGGTGGAAGGAGACAGAGGATTTTTTGAGATAGATCAGGTCAATGGAGAGATAAGGACCACCAGAGCCTTTGGGGAGAACGCAAAGGCAGCCTACGAGCTGATCGTGGTGGCTCACGACCATGGAAAAACATCTCTCTCGGCTTCTGCCTTGATTTTGATATACCTGTCTCCAGCCCTGGATGCCCAGGAGTCCATAGGATCTGTTAACCTCTCCCTGATTTTCATTATTGCCCTGGGGTCTATCGCAGCCATTCTTTTTGTCACCATGATCTTTGTGGCAGTCAAGTGCAAAAGGGATAACAAGGAAATCAGGACCTATAACTGCAGGTAAAGACATCTTTGTTTCTGTGCACCTGCTGGGTCTGCTTTGATTTTTGCCATTACAGTTACTTTTCCATTTGCTGCTGTATATTGGGGGGGGCTGATGTTAAATTTGCTTTAGGAACAGCAGTGAGGTTCGCGTCCCTCTAAGGAAATTTCCTGCAAAGCTTTAAAAAATTGTTCTCTGGGAGGAGAGGAGAAATCCCTGCCGAGTAACGAATCGACTTAATTGTGCGGCTTGACAATCTGTTGCAGCATCCCTGATTTTACGCTCTTCGTCGCAGAGAGTGGGGGGAGAACAGTTTTATAGCGGCATGGCTGGTTCCCCTGGGCAGCCCCCCGTCCCCAGCGCAGCTCCCCGGGCTCGCGAGGGGGGAACCCCCCCCAGCCCACCGCAACATCCCCGCAGCAGACGGGGCGAGCGGCCGCGGTGGCATCCGTAAACCCTCGCTCGCCGTTCAAAAGAGCTATTGTGTGCCCGATGCAGCTCCTCGCCACGGCTGACGGTGGGGCCAAGCGGATAAAATAGTGTCCCCCCCGATGCCCCGCTCCAGCAGCCGGCGCGGCCGGTTGGGCTGGGAGCGATGGGGTGAGGGAGGATTTTTGCAGCGCTGCGTTATTTTGCCCTGGCTGAATGCGTGCTCCCGGGTCCGAAATGCCGGAGGGGAGGTCAGCCCCGCGCCCGGAGCCGGTGAAAGGCTGATAGGGGAAATCCAGTCCCCTGAATATGTAACAGCCTGGCGATTATTGTCTCTCTTTTACTATTCTCTGTGTTACACAAGTTAGGAGACAAATGCTAACCACACATGAATATCAATCAGATGCCATAAAAGAGCAGCTGCAATGCCTCATAAATGGTTTAATCCTGTTACTAGTGAAATAGCCATGACTTCTCCATTCCTTCGGCACCGAGTCGCTTCAGAGGGGAGGGATGGAAATTAATTTTGCTCTACCTTGGAAACGCACGCTGGCCCCCGGCAATTCTGCGGCGCAGGGGGATGTGTGGTCTTTAAAGTTTTATTTACGCAGAAATAATGCCGGAGAGTTCGGTTTTTACACCCCATTTTCACAGCGTTTCTAAGCCTTCTTGCTCGTTGGGGGAAAAATCATCTGCAAATAAAGGTCGGTCTGTGCTGTATTATGGGATGTCTAGCTTCAAGTGAAAGCTCGTATACCAGATTTCTTGCCAGCTCAGCCCATTAAATGAGAATAGGACCTGAATGGATAAAAATCATGTTGTGGTGGTGCCCCTAACAGCTTCACACGTATGTATAAACCCTGGGTTTACTGTGATGGCTTAGGGATTAATGAAGTGCAGTTTAATTAAATAATTGGTCAATAGAGAAAGGACAGCAAAATGAATGCCTGCAGGAAATAATTGGGCTCTCGCATTGCCAAACTTAAACATTTAGGTAAACAAAACAATTAAAGCTTCATCAAGCATTGTTAGACGAGTCAGCAGCATATAGATTGTTGGCACAACAGAAATCCCTGCCTTCCCCTGATTTATTTGCGCGCTCAGGGGGATGCACGGGCTGTTACCAGTGTGCATCTGAGCAGGAGAAGTCAGCTGCAGAGGTAGAGAAGCACCAGGTAGGCTCGGCAGCGGCTGTGACCGTGGGGCACCCTCCCTCGCTGGGTGCGTGCGTTTAGGCTTTGCCAGTGCCTTATTTTAGAGGTTCTTCACAACAGCTGCTGGAGAGTCTTCATAAAATGTGTTAATTTATGAGGCACGTAAGGTTATATGAGAGCTGTTCGACTTGGTGGCATTTTCATGCTCAGGCAATTAGCTTCCTGGAACAAGAATATTTATCCAATATTTGCCTTTCTAGATAAACTGTATTATTTATTCATCCCATTATTTCTGTTGCAGCTATTGGATTTTTTTTTCTTTTTTTTTTTTTTTTAATGCTGTTATCATAACAGAAAGAGGAGCAAAGTCCTGACTTTCAAATGTGTGTTTCTGACTGTGGGTAGCATTTGATGTGCTTCCCTGGGAAATACTGAGCTGCCCAGCGCTGTGCATGCACAGATTCATCTGTGGGGCATTGGCTGGGGCTGTGTTGCTCCCTATGGAAAGAGGAGCCACAGTCACTCTGAGCCAAGCATACCCAGTTAATGCAAGGTGCAGTCGTATTTGTCATTATTTGCTCGGGTGGTGTTTTACGATAACTTTTTTCCTCGGGTGTTTTGCGAAAGGCATTCAAGGCACTTCATCAGTTGATTCTTTTGGCAGGTGGAAAGCAAAGAGGGAAAGAAAGGCAGAGAAAAACAAGCTTGCAGTAAAAAAAAAAAAAAAGGTCAAAAAGGATCATTTCTCGTTCAAAACACAGTTGTTGTTCTCCGATTTCTAGAAGACGAAAGCATTTCCCAGCAGAAGGGGGTGTGCGTGTCGGGGGGTGAGGAAGGAATAGGATGCGGTTGGAGAATAGATTTTGAGTTATCAGGTGTTATCAGGAGATAGTCAAAATACCAGCAGTTTGGATAAAGCATTAATAAACAAACAGCCTTTGGAGTGTGAGAGAATAGAGCTTGCCAGCTAGGACTGCTTCTGGGTCTGCCTTATTTACTGCTATGGAAAATGAACTCGGAAAAAAATGCACTATTCATTTTGAATTTTCATTACGGGGACCAAATTAAATCACTTTTAAAATCCTTATTATGCATGGAAATGAATGCAGGTACCCTTTTCAGTTCATGGATTTTAACATCTCCATTTTTCTCTTCTGCAGGCTGGACTTTACTCCTAGTAACTAAATATCAGCAATTATAAACACTAGAGAAAAACAGAGGCATTCTCCCTTCCCATTATTTTTCATATTTGGCCTGAAAGCGTTATACATACGAAAATAAGCTAAAGACCGTGTTGTGCCACCAGACCCAAAACATGACGTAATGTGCATGACTAAGAAGCCTACACAGAGATGGGGGCCAAGCCCTCCGGGTTTCTGCATGTGTATTTAGCGGGGCAGGGTTCGGGATGCTCTCAGCTAGTGATTTTCCTTCTGTCCCCCAGAATCGCAGAATACTCCTATGGACATCAAAAGAAGTCAAGCAAGAAGAAGAAAATCAGCAAGAATGATATCCGCCTGGTACCGCGGGACGTGGAAGAGACAGATAAAATGAACGTTGTGAGTTGCTCCTCTCTCACTTCGTCCCTCAACTACTTCGACTACCACCAGCAGACCCTGCCGCTGGGCTGCCGCCGCTCCGAAAGCACCTTCCTCAACGTGGAAAGCCAGAACAACAGGAACGCCGGCTCCAACCACATTTACCATCACACCTTCACGGGGCAGAGCCCCCAGCAGCCCGACCTCATCATCAACGGGATGCCGCTGCCGGAGGTGAGTGCGGGCGGGCAGCCCGCGCCCCTGGGGCATCGCTAACAGCTTTGCACGTGGACCGCGGCGTGCGGGTCCGTTGGTGTCAGCGCTGCCGAAACGAGCGTCGAGCAAACAGGCAGTGGTGGTTTCCGTGTGTCCGGCACCCCGGGGCGAGGGAGCGATGGAGGACGGGCAGGGGTGAGCGGTGGGCACCCAGCTTGTGTGTTCTGGGGCAGCCCCGACACGTGGTTGGGGGTGGAGGGTTTACGCCCAGACACCGCAG